AAAAAAAAAAAAAAAGTAACTCTAGTATTACAAAACCGATACTTAGACGCACAATAGCAACACATAAATTGAGTATCTCGTGCATATTACCCTCCAATTAAAGGAAAATTGCAGATGCTAAAAGGAAAAGAACGAAAAGACAACTGCAATATATCAAGATTCAGCAGCACAAGATGCTCGTACGAGCTTCAACACCTCATTATCACCGAAATTTCACAGATACCATGACAAATGTGCACAAAACGAGTTGATTCCACTATAAAACACGGACTTTTTCGATCAACCGAATGCCCCAAGCTCAAACTCAACCTATATTTTCATAACAATTGCTGGACAAATCAATTGGCATTCAAATCGGACACCAAAAAAAGTCGAACAGCACACGATTCGGATATTCCGGGCAAAGTATGAATCAATCAAATTGAACACGCAATAAAACGCAGACGAACTGAATGCAACAAATTAAGTTAACCCGAACATCGAATGAAGCTGCTCACCTGAGGCAAAGCGACGATGAAGAGCAGGAATAGTTCGAGTGTTTCACCAAAGGACTTTCCGAGTACTCGCCGGAAAGAAGATATCTTTGGGACAAACAGTGTGTGTGGTGCCAGTGTGTTAGAGAAAGTTATGTGTGTGTGCGCGCATCGGTAAAGAGGTGAAGTATTGACGGGTGAATGAGGAAAGTGGTTTTGTTGGGAAGAAATTGACAGGCGAGGATAAACAAGAGAGAGCACGTGAAGTGGAGAAAAGGGGAAAATAATGGCTAGGGATTCGTTTGGATATAGTTTGTTAAGGTGTGTTTGTTTAAAATGATTCGGGTTATTCGGTTGGTTAATCGAATTAACAGAAATAAATTATAATTTATAATATAATTAAATATATCTAAAGTTTTTTATTTTTATATTTTATATTATTTTTTCTGAATATGTATATATGTATATTAATTTTTTATATAGTTCGGTCGGTTCGATTATTTTTAAAATAAAAATAAAAACTGAATTGAAATAACTAAAACTTTAAAAGTAAATACCCGAGAACCAACTAACATATTTATACTCAAGCAAGAAAAATAATAAGAAAGACTATTTAATTTAATTTCGGATTCACTTTTTCGATTGGTTTTTGTTGGTTTGGTTGAACTTTTGCATACATCTAGTGAAAGTATATTGCACTAAGAGTACAACCAAACAAAAACTTATACATGACAAAAACTGAGTAAAGAATTAATAATTTTTTTTAGTAGGGTCATTATGCCATCAAGTATGTCTCGCCTCATACATGTCCCTTACATACATGACAATAGGTAGCCCTTTAAATGTTGACATGTGCCTTTATACCTTACTAAATAATTAAAAAAAATGTATTTTATGTAATTACTATAATGTCCTTACTTAAAATCTTAAATAATAGACACTATATTTTATTTCATTTAAGAATGTTAAATTATTCATTTTATGCAGAAATTTGCGTGAAAAAAAAAATCGAATATGACACTTCAAATTGAAGTCTCATATAAACTCAAAATATTACGTTGATCAATGTATATTGTTGTTCATTAAAAGAGGAACAAAATAAGTGTTTACCCATCAAATTTGGACAACCGAGTCGCCGAGAATCAGAAATTGGATTCTTCATCCTGCTGTCGCGTACCATTGAAAATTTGGTAACTTCACGTTATTGTTCTGACTATTGAATACAAGGGGAAGAACTAGGGTTAAGGTCGGAGGAAGGTAGAAGACTAGGTTCATATTTTTAGTGGTCGACTATCTTTTCTTCTTTGTTTTGTAGGGCTTTTCCGTTTTTGATATTGGTGTTTGGCTAAAGGTTTTCAAGCGTGGGTGCTTGCCTTTAGTGTTTTCCTTTGGTTTATCTAGTTCTCTTTTGATGTTTCCGGTTGTTTAGGCCACCATTTTGGTCACTCTCTGTAGCGCCCCGATTTTATTTTAGTAGACATCTCGAATTATTATTATATTATGCATTTTAATGCATTTTATTTTATCAGCTCGACCAGTAAATAATTTGATTAATTAGACGTGAGTGTCTATTTAATCATTTGAGATAAATAATTTATTTAGACCTTTTTGACTATTTAAATTATTTCAGAGTTTAGCCGAGTATTAGATTTTGCCCAATTAATCTAGAGCCGTTTATTTCTAGCCGTTTGCTTGTCGTCGAAATTATTTTTCCTCTACTACACAAAATTTTCCGAGACTAAGTTATAGTCTTATTTTCAGCTCCATGACTTGGCCCTTATGAGATCAATTTAGCTGCTTTAAATAATTTATTAAGGCCATTGATTATTTTGAATTGAAATCAAATAAATCCTTAGAATTGTTGGCATGTTTTGTGCGTGAATGGGTCAGCCTTAAGAGCTGATTTATAGCTCATGTTCGCCAATATCTCCCCACAATTAGCAACGGACATTATCCTATCCTTCTTTATATCTTCATTCAAACTCATAGCTGAACTCACTCTCACGCCCATAAACCGATCTGAAATTCAAAGTGAAAAACCCTTAGCATATTTTCTTTTCGTTTGCCGCCGTATTCAATCGAGAAGAAGAGATTTCTCTTCATCATCGCCTCTTCCATCATCAAATCGCAGCCTTTAACCTCGCCGGCACTTTCCAGCGGCACCCCCGTCGGCCTCCGTCCAGCGGCCCGAATAGCAGCGGCACCCCGTCGGCCTTCGTTCAGCGGCCGAGAAGCAACAACAGTCCCCGCCTTTGTGCGTAACTGCAGAAATCCCGTTCGAGAAGCCCCGTTCATTCGATCAGCATAGCGGATAGCCATCGTAAGAGCCGAGGCCGAATCCCAACGTCCGAGACTGTTCGTTTTCAGATTTTTCGTTTCCGTTTCATTCCCGAAGGAGGTATATGGCTTAACCTCCTTTAATATTTTCGAGTTATTCTTGAAGGATTAGTTTAGGACTTATGGTTCATGCTAGAAATTATTTAAGGAGATTTCATGAGAATTTAAGGATTTATGTTGAGCTCTCGATTTCTGTCAGTTAAATTCTGTAAGTTGAAAGTATGTGTAGCAGCAGTCATATAATGGTCCTAATATTTGTGAAATCATGCAAAATGGTTTTACTTAATTTCCTTTATTTATTTCGTAAATGTTGAGGGAAAGTTGAGATTTGTTGAGAAAATTTGATTTCTGATTTTATTGTAAGTGGTGCCGAGGATTTTGTTTTAAATTGCCTTTTAAGTGCTATTTGGAAATTAAAAATTTCTGTGCCATGTTAAGCTTTCATTTCAAAAGGATCTGAACATGCTGCAACTTTTCTTTAGTATGTTAAACTGCTGTTGTGTTGTATTTAGGCATGATAATAATTGGTTCAAAATTTGCCTTAAGTTTTGGTTTAAAAAAAAAAATGGAGTCATTTACCTCAGTAGCAAATTGAGAAAAATGAAATTTTTAAAAATTAATTTATGCCATTTTATGTTGAAAAATATGGTATTATGGACTCCAAATGTTTTTAAAAGTTGGTCGTAAGATGTGTCGTTGGGTCGAGGAAGTTGTCGGGAAAAACCGAAGCATGGTGTCGGGTTACGACAGCCGGAATGCTGCCAGGCCACTGCCGCGAGCACGCAGGCGCACCCGTAAGCAGGCGGGCAGCCGGCGCTTGCCGCCTACGTCGTGTGCTGCGAGGCCCATGTGGTAGCAGCCTGTGCGACACCTTACTGCCAACCCTACCGTGCGAAGAAGACTCCTGCGACCTACAAAGCCCCACGTCTCGTCCTTAGCGGTCAACTCCTTTTCCAAGCCCGAACCAAATTTTAATAGTTTTAAAAGC